TCCAGACAGTGACCCAGAAATGGAGTGGTGGGTGTTCATCCGCCTCCCTGCACCTGCTGGAAAGCAAAGCGAGTCCCAGTGCTGCTGGGCTAGCCTCAGGGCAGGGGATGGCTGTCCATCCCACCCAGCCAGGGAAGTTAAAAGCCAAAAGAGCTTTTCCTAGTGGGCCTTAAGACTTTTTTGCCTTGTTTTGTTTCTACTCATCCCCTTTAATAACCAGCTATCCCCCACAACGGAACAGAGCCAGCATCCCGGGGACTGGCTGCCTGCTGGGGCTGTAGGGAGCAAGATCGCTGCTGGGGTGGAAAAGGAGAATGAGGGGAGCAGCAAAGGGCAGTTTGCAATGTTTGCTCTGGACAGACCCACAGGACTGGGGTTGTGATGACAGAACTGAGAGACAGGTCTTTCTATCAGTCATTAAATCACATTCTGGTCAAAAGTGCCAGCAGTTTCTTCACAAGCACAAGTTGTGCCATCTTAGCCTGGTCCAGGACAATTCCCCCTGGAATTCAGCTGGGAAGAGAGGGGTTCCAAAGAAAGCCAGAACTGGAAATCTACAGATTACTTGATTCCTGAGCTCCGTGGTCCACAGAGATTGTCAGGAAGAATGAAAGGACACATTGGGTAGCCAGGATCAGTCCTCTGGAGCCCTTCCCCCACCTTCATTTGGGGAGGGGCACACAAAGACAGAGGGGTCCTTGTCTACCATGCCTGCGAGACGTGGACATCAGTGGTGCAGCGTGTGCTGGGGAAGCGGGAAGTGAGATGTCCAGGCACTGACAGCATGAAAAGCCAGGCTTTTTCCACCTAATTGGATCTGTTATTCAGCTGAGAAACGCTGAATGGCTTGGGTGGGCTCTGAGCTCACAATTTCAGTGAGGAAGTCGGGACGTGGTGGTAAAGTAGGTCACACTGCTGCAAACAGGGTGAGGGTTCTGCACAACGGCTGAGGATGTTAAATAAGGAGGTGGTGAAATGGAAAGAAAAGGGAGATTGTGAGGAAGGAAGAATAAATGAGCTCAGCCCCGGCTATTCACTCCCACTGGGAGTCCCTGCTGCTGGCTCCCACCATGGGCCCCCAGCACTGCTGCTTGTGCCTGGAGGGCACAGGGCTCCTGCTCTGCACTGGAACGAGAGGGACTGGTGCCAGTTTAAACTTCCAGTTGGTTATGGGGAGCTGGGGGCAATGGTTTCTCCTACTCTTGGAAGCTTAACCCAAACGCTACTTACTGAGCAGCATTTCGATGCATGGCATTTTGTGAGCCTGGACCCTCTTCAGAGACTAAAATGTGCTGGGTTTTCCTCAAGGGAAAAGGTGCATGGGAAAATAGGAAAACAATTTGACATGGGAATATATTGCAGGGAGAATGTGCAATGCTGGGGCATTAATTAATGTGCAGAAGATGACAAGCCAAGGACATGAGGCTTCAGTGCTCTGTATAGACATGGATGAATTTGAAAGCATGTTGGACGGCTGGAAGAAAACACTCCTCCACTCCAATTATGTGTTTAAATGCCAGAGTTGGCCTCTGGATGGATGTGGGGCTTCCTCAGACACCGAAGCTATTAAATCACTAGCTACTCTGCTTTTAATTGACTCTCATGACAAAGGGAGAGCAGGCTCAGAAGATAATTCCCTGCAGGGCTTCTCTGTACAACAGTATTATTTCAAGGGCAGCTGGGGTCAGGCTGGGAAAATGCATATTTAAAAACCAATAAGGCACTATGAGATTTATTTAAAGAAGACATAGGAGTATCGGCCTTTTGCGACTGGGGAGGTTCACCATGGTCAGTCCCTGGGGATCAAAGTCCCCAGGCCTGGGCCCAGGAGAGGTCTGATCCTGCCAGCTGCCTGCCCTGCTCCATCTCTGAGCATCTCCCCACCCTCTCCTCCCAAAGTGCTTTTTGGAGAGTGAGAAGCACCCTGTTACAGAGCTGGGGAACCGAGGAGGAGAGAGCCCATGAGCAGGCTTCAGATGGGGCCAGAGGGTGGGTGGAGTGGAGCTGTGTCCTGCCCAAGCTCTCCCGTGGGACTGGGACCAGCAAAACAAGGGAGGCGTGGGACAAGCCCCCCTGCCCCTCCAGGGGATCTCCATGCCATGTTCCTGGCACCTCGTGGGGAAGATGTCTGAGTTCCTGACACCCCACAGAGAGGGCTGGCTATAGCCTGTGGGCATGTTTCCCAGGAGCCTGGGAACACACGATCCCTGTAACACCACCAGACAGGACTCTTTCCCAAGTGCTCGCTCCCAGACAAAGCTGTGCCTGACCTGCTGAGATGGTGAAAAAGCCTTTTAAAAAAGGAAAACAAATCAGGTTTACATTCCTACCCCTGTACCTCCCTTTTAAACCCCAGACCCGCTCTGGCTGTAGCTTTATTCTGACTGTTACATCCATTTTCACCTCCTGCTCCCCTTTTACTCTGTTGCTGCTAACCAAGAAACCTTTGTATTTCTCATTGCATTTAATTCCATAGCAACAGGTCGCTGCTGTCACAGCAGCTGCTGATGGCTTTTGAATTGTCTTTCAGGAAAGCTCCAGAATAAATACAAAAGAGCAGGTCTCTGCATGGCTCATATCAAAGCAAGCCCATTGCAAAGCCTCCCCAGCTGCTATTTAAAGTCCCATAGTCACATATAAAACCTGAATCAACAAAACTATAGAGGATTTCATTCACACACCCCTTCTCTTTTTCCCCCCTCCTGCTCATCAAACAGTAATTTCTACCCTGAATTCATTTCCCAAAGGGTTCTTTAATAAGCTTTTTCTATGGAGCCTTATACTTGTATCTGCTCAGCTCATGTCAGCTAATGCTGCTGCCTACCCAGCTCCTGCAGGCAGGGGGATATGTTCCCTGTGTCCTTTACACCTCAGAAATTTAGGCTTTAAATCCCTTTGTGTGTAACACCCATAGAAGTTTTGTTTCCCAAACCCATCGGCCCCTGCTATAAGAGGAGGCAAATGCAAGTTTGCCTGGTGCCTGTTCATTGCTCTGAGTGATGCTCCCATGGTCCCAGACCTGAGCAGGGGCTTGAGTTCCCAGAGCAGGGCTGGATCAGTCCCCTGCTCCTTTGGGATGGGGAGAGATGCACACAGAGGAGAAGCATGGACGGGGGCCCAGCTGGAAAGCTCCATCTCTCCTGTCAATGGGCCCCTTTCTTGGGAGCTGCAGCAGCCAAGCAAAGGCAAATAAGGAAAACAGAAGTATGAATTCTTCATCTTCCTTAGAAATTACTGGCTTCCCCTGCAGGAGTACGGCTGTCTCTTTGTTGGGCCCCTCAACCTACTTGGCAGGTATTATTACCATTGCAGACTTGCAAGTTCTCCTAAAATCATGACACGGACAAGCTGAGTGAAAGCAGCCATGGAGCATGAGACATGTGATGTCCTCAGGGCATGAGAAGTCCTGGACTTTATTCCCAGATCTACCACTAACCTTGGACAAGCCAGTTGACATTGTGCCTCAGTTTCCCAAGCACTGAAGCAATAATAATTACAGCCAGGCTGGTTGCTTCGGAGGCTGTTTGTGAACCGCCCCACCAAGTGCCAACCCTGTTATTAGTCCTCGGCCCTGTTATTAGACCTAAATCCAACTTACTTAAGAATGAAGACTCCTGTGAAAAACACACAAACGGTTTCCCAGATCATCATTTTTATTAAAGTTCACAAGCAGCTGAAGGGAAAAAAAAAAAAAAAAAGACTAGAAAACGTAAATAAATGTCATTCAGCGCGTCGCAGACTGGCTGTGCAAAACGTGTGTTCTCCCCGGCAGCAACGGGCACCCGCTGCTCCGAAAAGACCTTTGTTGTTTGAAGCTGTGTCAAGGCTTTTCAGAGCATTGCATCATTCAGCTGGCCAGGCTACAGCTCAGCCTAATCCAGGGGCAAAAGGCAAGCCTGGAGCATCTGCAGATCTGCTGTGCAGGGAAGTGGGATGCTGGGTTGGTGCAGGACCAGTCCTTGGCAGTGGCCAGCCCTAAAGAGGTCAGGCAGGAGCTGCATCCCTGTCTTGACATCCCAAATCCATGTGCCCTCCTTCACAGCATGAGTGAGGAGAAACTTGGGCTGACAGCTCTTGGATGCATAATCCCAAACACAGTCAGCAGCCAGCATGTGTGGATAACCTGGGGCAGCCTCAGCCCAACCACGAGCAGGCAGCGTGCAGTCAGAAACACTCACATCTCTGCAAGGTGAAGCCAGGATGTGGGGTGCCGTGGGAATAAGGGGGATCCCTCCCCTGCTCACCCTGCCATGCTCCCCTAATCCACTTGCTCTCCCTCTGAGGCCTCGCTGGTGGCAAGATGCCCCCTCCCAAGGCACGAGCAGCAGCCCTGTTTCTGCTCCTGTGCTAATTACACCCTCACCCACGCGGAGGGAAGCTCAGCAGACCGGCTCTGAGCACACAGTGGGCTTTATCTGGTGAATATCTGAGCAGTGGTGCCGGTGCCTTGGCACACTAACAGAGCTGCTGTGCTCTTCCCAGCAGCTGTGTGTGGGGAGCTACTCGGCCTCCAACCAAATCGCAACTGGCTGCAGCGAGGAAAGGGGGAAAAAAAAATTTAAAAGGCCCAAAGTGCAAAACAAAAGGCACCTGCCTTGTTTCACCGCAGTACCTGGTGCTGCTGGCAGCCACCCCAAGCTCCCACACTTTAATGTTTCTACAGCCATCGCCTCCGTTGAGCGGCCAGAGGATGGGGAGGGCCAGGTGCTCTCACCCATTTCCCCTTAACAAACACTTCCAAGTCACCCAAGCAGCAAGCATTGACAATAGCAAGTTTGCTGCCTTTAAAAAAAAATTAGTATCTCCTAACCCCCCAACTGAGTAACAAAAAGCACATAAGGGCTGCCCAGCAGTGCTTGCTGAGGGATGCAGCCTCCATCTCTCTGGTGCTGGTGGCCCACTGGTGCCCACAAGCCATCCCTGTGCCGCTCGTGCCCAGCCCCTGCCTTGCAGCCAGTGCTCCTGGCTCTGTGCCATCCCTGTGTGATGGCCAGTGGCCAGTGGTGGGGCCGAGTGGCCCTTGGTGGCCCTGTGATGTGATGCCAGTGTAGAGTCTGGCTGTGCCTCCCACTCCTGGTGCCGGGAAGGGACGTGAAAGTTGCCTCGGAGTCCTGGGCGGGACGACAGGAGGGGACTCAGTCACAGTGCTGTCGGCTCCAACTGCGCAAGAGGGGACATGGATGTGACTCTGGTATCTGGGGAAGAAAAGAGAAAGTTCATTAACCAGTGTGATGCTTGGCTCAGCCCACACAGGGGAGCATTGGCAGTTACTGGGGTAACCCCCACCCCAAATCCCAGAAATGGCTGGAGGTAGAAAGCAGCTGGCTTGTTTGGGAGTTGGACTCTGCTTTGCTTGAGCATGAGAGGGGGGAGAGAGGGTGTTCAGCTGGGGAGGGCTCAGAGACGGGCAGGAAACTTCTGTGGACATGACAAGGGAATGAAAAATTGAGAAAAAAAATAAGGGGTTTTTTTGTTGGGTTTTTTTTTGGCAGGGACGAGGGCCCAAGAACTGGAACAGACAAAACAAAAAGACCCTTTTTCTCTTTTTCCGCAGGTTCCTCCAAAAACATCCGTATCACTGACATTTCCAAGGGGTTGATTAATCCAGTCTGGGGCCTAGCTCAGACTGCACATGTTTCCATCTGCCCAGGGTTAGGAAAAGCCTGATTTTCATCGACTTTCCTCCCCAGGCCAGCCACTCCCTTCCAACGCTGCCTGATAAACTGGCTTCAGAGACAACCAGCCGCTTGGAAAGAGCAGCAGCGGCAAAAAATCTGCAATCCCTGTTTATCCGGCCTTGCTATTATACACATGCAAATGGGTTTCCCTAGGAGCCACCGAGAGAAACCAGTTGTGACTTTGTTCTGGCAACTCCAGCGAGGTTGCAACAGGTTGCAAGCAACCACCCCAGGAGCATGCAGGTGAGCAGCAGCGTTTAGGAGCCAGGAGATTACCCTGGGCTTTTTTTAGGCTGCTGTTTGCAGGTACACAGGTTTTCACATGGGAAGATGTCTTTCTGTGAGCAGGGCTCTGTGGATGGAGGCGAGAATGATGCACGGCAACAAAATTCTGTGATTGTTGCAAGGTGAAAGCTGGTGGAGTGCTGTTCCACATGGAAGGGAGCCACACCAGGCAGCACTAAATGTGTCTTTGCGAAAGCTTGTTATCTAAGATGTAATATAATAATCAGCAAAAGCCACTGAACAGATTTGACACAGCGTGTGTGGTATCAGAATATAGTTTAGGGCCTGACACGTGCCCTAAATCCTTGCAGGAGCTTTGGGGCCAAAGTTCATTTTAGGAGCCAGAACACCCTCGATTTACTTCAGCCTCGGTTGCTCAGCACCCACCCAACAGCAGGTACCAGCTGCTGATGCCGCCCACAGCCCTCATGGGAGCTAAGCCCACCAAAGGACTCCAGTGGGAGCCATGAAGTGGTCTCTGAGCTTTTGGATGTGTCCCAGGAATAAGTGTCTGAGCACTGCCCAGCCGCTGGCCTCCCCTCCTTACAGCCCAGACCGTGAGGAGGATCCTGGAGGAGCTAAAAAGCACCAGAATGGGAACCCCTGGGCAGGGAAACCCCTGGCTTCTCACTGTGATGGGGTTTGGCTCATCCCATTTGTTTTGAGATGGGAATTCCAACACCTCCACCCCAGGGGAGCATTTGAGGCTCAGAAGGCAGCACAGAGGGATGCAGTGACCTCCCTTTCCAATTCACCTTCCCTGGCTGGACCATGCAATCTGAAACAACTGTCCCACTCCCATTTGTGACTCTGCCCCACAAAAATGAGAGTGTCACACAGGACAGACATTTTGGAGAAGCCACTTCTAATGTGGAGACAGGCAGCTTGGAGAACCTGTTCCTGGTGAAGCCCAAAGTCACTCCAGAAAGGTGTGGAGTTGTCCCCGTCAACTGTCACTGCACAGGACTGTGACAGACCACCCAGTATCTTTCTCTGGGCTCCTGGCCAGGCTGCACTTGTCTTTGTAAACACAGAGAGTCTTTATTAGCCGAGTGCTCAGTATTTTATTTCCCGTTCGTAATGTTCTGCGTCCTCACGGCTCCAGGTGGGAGGAGACCAGGCTTTCACATTTCATACTGCTAATCATGCTTGATCCCTGGGATTAGCTGCAGGTAATAAGCACTAAATTAATGTCACACGGCCTCCTTGGCAGGGCCGCTGGGACCTCTGCCGAAAGGTGCCCCGGCTCCAGCTGGGAAGGGCGAAGGCCATGCCCTCAAGGAAACATTTCCAGCTGATCAGCTTTATGCTTTAAATGAAAAGCAGGCTGGGTAGTTTATGACCAACATTTGCCAAGGACAGATTATTTGGGTTTCAGGGACCAGTTTATAGGCAAGAGGTTGTTTTTTCCATGAATACAAAGTACTATTTCCTGCCATGTGATTGCCCAGGCCTTTCCCCACCAGCCCAGCTTGCTCTGCTCTGAGGGATGGTCCCTCCCGAGCCTTCTCCATCTGAGGGGGTTAGTATTGCCAAAGCACACTTGGACACAGCCAGCCTGCCTTCTGGGTGTTCCTACTTGAAGAAGGATCCCATAGGGCCTATCCAGATGTTGCAGTAGAGACCTTCCATGGTGGGAGCTACAAGCCAAAAGATCCCTTAGCCAGACCTGCTACAGGACAATAGTGTAGTCATAGGATCCTATAGACAGTTACCCCAGTTCCTGAGCCCAGTTTTGACCCAAGCACAGCCAAGACAGCCAAGGCAAGCACATGGGACATGGCTGGTGCAGCACTGCAACACATGCACATCAGAGACATTCACTCACCCATCCTGGTGCTTTATGTAAGGAGCTGTCACACTGGCTGAGGCCACAACAATAAATTAGTAAAAAAAAAAAACAACCAAAAAATAAAAAACCTAAAGAAAAATCACACGGAGAGACATTCTTTCTGGCAAGAGCTCTTGTGTATTTTAAATACTTCTTTTAACCGAAGAGTGGAAGCGAAGCCAAAAAAGCACATAAAACCCTCACACAGTGACTTTTCACCAATTTAATTTGCAGGTTGGTATATTACAGCTCCTAGTTTTCTTGTGCTGTTATCAGGTTCCAGATTACAGAGGGGAAACCTATCTATGCAACCCCCTGAAGCTATTTATTAGGTCTGACCAAACCAAATACAGTAAGGAGGAAAAAGGGCAGGAAAGGAAAATAACATCACTGTGATTTTGGAGACTTTTTTATTCAGCGACTGAAGAATGAACTCCCACCTCAAACTATTCCCTGTCCTATTCCCAGGAGCATGGCTGGTGTTGAGCTTTAATATTCAGATGCATCTGCTACCAGGGAAAATTAATTTTCAGCTCTAGGATGGCTCTTAAAGAGAGGCCCCATTGACCTGAGCTGAAAATGATGGAGTCCTCACACTCTTTGCTGCAATATTTAATAGCCAAGTGGCAGTTAATTAGATTACTGAGCCACTGTGACAGATGCTAGGCAACGCCTGAGGAGGAGAATTTGGAAAGGTCATTATCTTCCAGTGTTTGGAACACTCTCAGATCTCATTTTAACCCTTTCCACTCTCACCCTGCCCTCATGGTGGTCTAACTCATGTTAAACCCAGTTGTTTCACAAAGGCCAGAGCAATGCCCTAGGTGATTTTTTCCCACTTGAGAAAAGCAGGTGGTCACATTGGGCAAATAACCAGCAGATGTGCCAGGAACTCCTCCTTGGTTCCCAGCTGGCATCAAAAGAAATGATCACTGGGAGGTGCCAGCAATTTCCCCCGCTGGGTGATTCCCAGGCGCACCAACCACACCAAGTGGGAAGCAGGGAAGTGAGAGGGTGTTAGAAGGTTTGAGCAGCATTCTTTCTTCCCTGTGCTAAGTGAAGTGGATTTTGATGAGTTTGTGGAAGAATTTCCCTCCCCACAGTCCCCACTTTCCAAATAAAACTGTTAAGTGAAGCTTGTCAATCCCACACGCATACCAGCTCCTTCAGCTGGCTGGGATGTAGGCTCCGACCACCAAAGCAGGGCTCTGTGTGCTGCTGGCTCTGTGAAACCTGCAGACTGAGCTAGAAGAGGTGTTACAGACTTCCTGGTGAGATGATGCTATCCAACCATTGCCCGTATCACTATCTGCTTTTACCAGGCAAGGTGAGAAGAATTTTTGGCCTTTGCCTGGCCAGCTGTATCTCAGCAGATTGGTGAAGACATCCAAAGCTCTGTGGAGCCACACTGGGAACCAGAGGGGCAACCAAACATCCCACTGGGGAGGAGAGAGGAGGAATCAGCAGTCCTGTCCCAGTGGCACTGCAGTAGCACCTTCCCTGAGCAAGCGAGAACTGGAGCACCAGAATGAGACAGGACATCATGAGATTCCACCAACTTTCTTATTCTCACACACCTCAAAACACTGATAAACACATTCTTCTTCTGGTTACAAAACCCCTTCCCTCCCACTCAGGTCTTACACAGAAGTTTCAGAAGTTCTGATTTAACAAGCAACAGTTTGGATGATAAATAAACACCAGGACCATCAAATGCATCGTGGCTTCTGAGCTTTTGCTTCTGCTACCCACTGAAATGTAAATACAGAGCATAAAAAGAGATCCAGCATTTGCCAGCATTCCAAGGGTCACTTGCCTACATATTCATCAGTTCTGAATAAATCACCCAGAAAATCAGCGAAAATATTGAACTACTGAGACATTCCAAAGCACTTGTGGCCCTGGTATCTCCCAGGACTCACCTTCAAGTGTTTTTAGAAACCTTAACTCCCTCAACTGCGTGGGGACAGGATGTATTCTGCAGTGAGAGCCATGAGAGCAGGTGTGGACACATCTGTTCTCCCACCCACAGAAGGGTGACACTGTCACATCCAGCTACCTTGGAGCAAAGGGAGAGGAGCTGTGGCCTGCTTGCAACCATGTAGGTTGTAGATGTAGATGCATCTCTAAAGATGCTGTGAGGATCAGTTGGAAATAAGAGAACCCTGGGAGCTAGCTTGGCCTACAGCATCGCAGGACTGGCTACTCCTTCCTGGCTCTGCATCACACCTTTAAATCTCCTTGCCCCTAAAACAACCTCATGAACAACTTGGAACCCGTGACTCCGGCACGGTGGGTGCAGCCGCAACTGAGGCAAGTTTCAGTTTAAGAGGAGGAGACCCTTACCTTATTGACCTCCTGGATACAAGCCCCCCGAGCCCTGCCCCTCATCATGACGGCAAATGCTTCCAGGTGCTGACAAAAGCTGTGGGGATGAGCGAGTAAGGCACCGTTGTGATACAGTTCCACGTGTCTGACGTAGGGTCGTAGCAGTCCAGCGTTTTGCACCTCTGAGTGCCAAAGTAACCCCCTACCACGTACAGTTTATTCCCTGAGGCCAAAGCGTGGCACGACATGCGCTTGGCCGTCATGTCCCCGATGCGTGTCCACTGGTCCGTCTCGCAGTCAAAGCGGTACGCGGACGCTGCCGTGAACTCTGTGTCCCCTCCCATGATGAAAATCTGGCTGCCCAGGACAGCGGCTGCCGTGTAGCGCCAGGGCTGTGGGCATTCGGCTTTGATCATCCATCGATTCTCAGCTGGGTCGTAACACTGGACTTTGGACACCATGTCCCGGTGAATGCTGGTCCCACCAAAGACGAAAAGCTTGAGCCTGGCGCTCACCACCGCGGCGTTGCTCACTCCATCTCTCAAAGGAGCCACCATTGTCCATTTGTTGGATATGGGATCGTACTTCTCCACTTGCTTCAAGGAAACAGAAGGAGATGCGGGAAAGACTCCAGCCACTGCAGTGTGTCCACCAACCACATACAGGCAGTTTTCCAATTCGGCCGAGCCATGTCCAAACCGAGCGATTAACATTGGGGCAGCTTTGGACCATTCCTCATGAACAGTGTCATACACCCACACATCTTTTGAGACCCCGTTCTCTGAGCCTCTGCCTCCAGTGATATATACTTTGCAGCCAATGGCACAGGCACTAAACTCCTTCCGTGGACTCGGCAGGGCTGCTTTGGGGATAATTTCCTTTGCTTTGTGGTCTACTTGGTAAATCTTATCACACATGAAGGTCTGTCCTCCCAGGATCAGCAAGGTGTGCCCAGCTTTGCGAGGCCTGGCACAGGGACTGGTGACGACTCCATCATTCTGGAGGATCTTCTTCTTGCATTGAATAGCTTCATCCAAGACAATCTTGTTCCTTTCATCCACCATGATCAAGTCCTCACAAGCCAAGGCTTCCTTGAGGCATTCAGAAGGAAGCAAAGCCAGACGAACATTCCTCAGAAGCTCTGGGAGATAAGCCTTCCGCTCATCCAGATCGTATTTCACCCACTGGATGACAGCCTTAAAGACTTTTTCTTCGTCCTCAATTTCCAGCTCATCGCTGGAGATGAGGTCCAGCAAAGTGTCCTTGGAAAGGTTGTTGAAGTCCTCACTCTTGTGAACAGTCTCAAAGTTGACCAGGCACATCCTCCAGGAGAGCTCATAGAGCCGTCGGCACTGATGAGCATCCGAGAGCAGCATCATGCCCAGGCAGTTGGAAGGGTAAAGGTTCTTCTCCAGGAACTCGGCCGCTGCATCTCGGACATCATGGAACTGCAGCATGTCTCCAGCTTCCAGGAGGGACTCAGCGTTTTCCTCATTGATAATGATCCGAGAGGAGTAGGCAAAGTCCAGCAGTAGCTCCAGCACCTCTGGGTGGAGGCTGTCATGGAAGTTCACCTCATCATCCAGGCTCTCCCGGAGGCCGTTGCTAAACATGGCCTCGAAGTACCTGCTGGAGGCAGCCAGCACTGCCCGGTGGCACGGGAACGACCTGTTTCCTGCCCAAAGAGTGACATCGGTGAACATGCAGTGCTTCCGCAGGGTGTTCAGGTGGGACAGGACACAGTCCGGGTGGGAAGCTTTGTGAAAAAGCAAGATGTTCATGGAGCCCGTGCTAGTCCGGGATTTACGGTTCTCGTGGACGCTGACTGACATGATGGCAGAGCTCTTGCCTGCAGGAGAACAAACAGGAAAACCATTATTCCCTTGTCCTTACTGATGTATGGTATAGAGAACATGTGCATTTGCTATCCAACCCTGGTACACTGCCAATGGACCTCAAACGTGAGGCACCAGCTGACGCCCCTGTGCTCCTGCATCCCCACTTGCAGAGCCCGTGCCTCCTGCACCCTCACATCCTCCAAAAAATTTAACTCAGGCTGAACAGGGTGGGAAGGCAGAGTGGGGTGAAGAGGGGAATTCTCCACTTTGGTTTCAGCAACAGAGCAACAAAGTGAAGCAATCAACCCCCAAACTTGGTGGTAGATTGTCTCAACAGCCCCTAGAGGGTATTGGCAAACCGCAGAAGAGTTATTTTTCCTTAGAAAACAGCATCGAGAGAGCAGACTATCCAGGATAAAGGGCACTGGTCTGTTCCTGGCTGAGCAGTGTCTGGCTTCTGATTTTCATATAGATTGTTGCTGCAGGTTTAGGAAAGGCAATTGCTAGAGGTTTTATTTATGGAATATTTAACTACCAGCACAAGTCAAAAGTTTTGAACAAATTTTACCAAAGCCATTTGTTGTAGCTTTTGATGATGAAACTCACCACACACTTCATATGATTTAAACATTTTGCAGGACAGATTCACATAAGAGTAAAACAAAAGAGACAGCTCAATTACACTTTTTACCAGACAGGCAGAAGCAAACACAAGGCTTTTATTAGCTACTATTTCGTTTAAGTGCTACCTGATACCATTCTTTGCCTGTAGAAGAATACTCCTTTGGAATAATCAAATTAATACTACCTAGATGATAAAATACAAGTAAATTACTCCAAAATATTTTAGCCAGCTGTATTTTGTTCCTTGTGTGACTAAAGCAGACAGACAGATATGCAAACAGCCCTCTCTTACAGGAGAAAGTAAATGCTGAAGTTCATAGCACAACTGTCCCGAGGTTTGAAAAATGAACCCAAAAAAAAGAGAAAAATGGGCTCATCCTGCTGTACCTCCACTCCAGCCACTGAAATGTTTAGAAATCAGCCATTAGCCAGACAGTTGGGGAAGGTCTTTCAGATGGTTTGTTCATGTTGATGTTGGCTGGATTTTTTTTTTTAAGTTCCTCTTCACAACCAGAGGTTTCTCAAGGGTCTTTCTACCCTGCAAACACAAGGGCTGCAATTCAACCCTATCCTCCCCAGCTGAGCTCTCCATCACTCCAGCCCAGCACTGGGGGGGTCTCAGGGGAACCCACAAAATGCTGGGAGCATGGACACAGTGCTCCCGGGCTGCTGCAGGTCACAGCCTTGACCTGGTGGTGACCTGGAGCTGCACAACCCTCCCACACTCCACAGGTGGATGACCTCAAGCAGAGGTGGATGGCCAGATAAGCTGCCTGACTCAGGCTCTGATCATGTGCTTCCTACCCCTGCTTCTCCAGCACCTCCAAAAGAGGCCAAATTAGACAAACAGTTGTGGGTATGTTGCTCCTTCCCCCCCGCTGCCATGAATTATTGAAGTTGGTCTTCCCAAGGCCTCACTCATTCCTTAGGGCTGTGTCACAGTCCAGGGAAAAATCTCTGTGCTCCTCCATGTAGAAATGACAGGTTGCCCAAGCAGCCGCAATTCCTGCTCAGCCTCTGAGTCAAGGCAGGAGCATTGATGCAGGTAATCGGGTTGGATATGTACATGCCATCACCAAAACCCCTGCAGCCTTGCTTGGGTTGAGGCTGACAAGCTCATTTCACTCGTGATTGGAGGCTGTGCAGAATCAAGCCTCCAAAAGAGGAAGGAAAATGCCATTATGAAACAGCACTTTGAAGTGCATCTGAAGGAAATGTTTCCAACATCTACACCCAGCGCAGGAACAACACTAATTTAAGAGGTTATATGGATTCCCATGTCAACACCGAAGCAAGGAATACAAATGAAACATTTATGAGTCTGCTAAAAGCTATTGATTTAGTTTCCTATTCCTACAACCTCAGAAACCGCCCTGCCATTGCCACTGCTTTCTTTGCTCACAGCTCAGGTCAGCTATTCAATGTTAACCTTTGATTTGCTTATGCACAAAAAATGAAGCAATTTATACAGAACAGCTATGGAAACAAACAAAAGGATTGCAGGGACGCAGCAATAATTTTTCTGACACTAAGATTAAAAAATCACTACTCAGAATGGAAGGAGCAATTAAAATGTCTGTATAAAAGCTGCAGCACAGCCATTTTATATATATATACACACACATACAGATACATATACTGTGTGCACACACACGCACATATATATATATATATATATATAAAATATCTTAGGCTTCTACCATCAAACATCTAGCCCAGAGAACTTGGTAGCATTCTATCTTATGTGTATTAAACAACATTCAGGGAATAAACTGGTAGCTTCCAGTTCAGTCCCCAGCACTGCTCTTCATATCACCTTGTCCCAATACAGGCACCAACTGATCCCCAGTGCAGCTTCAAATCTGAAACCTAAAGAGGCCACAGTCACAGCCCCTTTACTTGGCCTCTTCTGGGGCCGGCTTATGACACTGGATGCTACTGGTCACAGATGAGCAGGGCTAGACAGACCACTAAACTGAAACTAAAGCAGCCTCTAAACTCTGGGGTGCAGCCAGCAAGCCTTGCTTGTGGTTTTCAGCAATATCCAAACAGCTTTTTCTGAGGGCTTCTTGAATCCTGCCATAGTGGCACAAGCAGAAAAGTGGCAGGTACTAATCCTTTCCCTCACAAACACACCTCGCCGCATTTCTCAGTCTACCAGAGACCTTGGCATCATCTCACCCCGATCAGACAAACAGAAACTGCAGGCAGCAGCTATTTCATCTGGTGGGTTTCTTCCAAAATCTAGCAGCTCACAAACCTCAGAAGCCTGCAGGTAAATGATCTCCTACAATTTCATGATGTGCACAAAAGTATGCTTCGATTTAAGCAATGTTTAACTGCGGCGATGAACAGGCTGGACCCATGACGTGTGCACTTCTCTGAAGCGGACACGTGCAGAGCAGAATTTGGCCCCTACCACACTCCTTGCTTCCCTTACCCAACTACTGAGCTAAAGAGAAAAAGCAGAGCCACTCAGAACGAGGAATATTTTACTCAAAGCAACCTGTCAGTGGCTCCCGCCAAGCTCCTGCCGCTCTGCGAGCGCTCAGGGGTTATCGTTGTTCCCAGCTGCATCTTCCATCAGGCAGGAAGCTGTCGCTGGAACAGCTGTGTCAATGAGAATAGCAGAAGGCATGACCTGAACAAACTGGGGCTTGGATTTCTCCACGCTGCATTCATTTTTTTTTTAACTTCGAAAGGCAGTTATTGAAAAAATAAATATCTACTGCATAACCTTTTAAAAGGATCTTAACTGCACGCAGAGGCAGATGATAATCCTTCTTCCATATGAATGAGGGCAGAGGGGCATCAGCTTTTTGACAGCTATCCAATGATGTCTGCTGGCTGTAGTATTCCCCTGGCTGTCTACAGCCTTTGTACAGCCAGGATAGGAAAGACAGGCTTTTTCCAGCAGAGCAAGATAAGGATGCTTTGAAAATCCTTCCACTCACCCAGACAGAGCAGACAGCAACCCTGAAGGAAGGAAGGAGTTGGCTCAGGGAGAAAAGACTCCTCAGTCTCAGTTCATGAAGAAAATACCCCAGCAGTCTCTCTGGACAGGACTAAGCTATAAAAGACAAGGGGAAAATCCAAAAGCACAGAGATGGCCAAACTCCCACTCAAAGAAGCACAATTCTCCTACCCAAGAGCCTCGTGCTTCCTCCAAACCATACCCCAGCAGAAGACTGTCCCTCCCAGGCTGGTGGGTCATCATGTCAGAGCCCTGCTGGAATGGGTCATTTAGAGAACTTTAGGAAACACTCTATCATCTCTTGAAAAATCCAAGCACCTCTTTGAAGCTGTATGAGGCCCTGTTCCCAATCACAAAAGAACTGCACATGAGAGGACAGCTCAAAAGGACTATTGATACATGAACTACATTTAGCCAGGCTTGGGGCTTCCCCTCCATCTCAAACCAGCAGCCTCTCCACAAATCTGCAAATTCATTCACTATCTGCAGGGAATTACCAGCTGAGATCCTGCTTCCTTCAAGAGGACATTTGAGAGTGAATATGTTCCCCAGTGGGACTTCAGGGGATCAAGAATAATTTCTGCTTAGAAAGGCAAAACTACAGGATTTATATGTGTTCTCCCAAGACTGTAAAGGTTGGCTAAACACCAACAAAGAGCCCAAATCCCATGATCCCAAGCTGGGCACTTTCTGTTTGCCAATCAGAGAAGCAGCAACCAGAACACATTTCTTTTTGCCCCACTCAACCATGAATTATTTAAAGCTGTAAATAAGTAAATAAATAAGCAGTAAGGCTCCCTGCTGGCTCAGCTCAGAAGACCTGGAAGAAGCTGCTCATGCTGCAGCTGAGATTCATTCCCAAGCAGTCAGACATATACAGGCCCTCCATGTATGGGCTGCACTACAACCTAGTGCCACTCCTTCCAAACCAGAGCAGACCTACCTTGAGCAGGCAGAGACAACAGGAGTAAACCCCATTTTTATTTTCTCTCCATTTCACAGTATCAACCCTGTGGGGTGAAACACCATCTTGAACTCAGCCAAAATTCAACCTCTCCCTGGAAGCGGCGGGATTAATTTTCTACCCATTACAAATGCGCCTGTTCCCTCATCCCAAATATCTGGACTTTTCCAACACTTTCATGGACTCCACCACCTGGTGCTTAGGCCAGCAGCACTATCCCAGGCCAAAATTACTGGTATAGAACCAACTTCCCCCTTTTTACTGTAGAGAGTAGCAAACTAGAAACATAAAGTCACCTACTGTGTTTTCTTCAGAGGGAAGAGCTCCTTGCAAAGCTGCTTAGAAGAAAGAGCAGTGAGAAAACACAATGTCAAACACAGAGCCAGATACAGCTGTTTCAAATGCGATTTCCCAGCACTGGAGACCATCAAAAGGTTTGAGAAAGGGGATCTGTTACATGCAGGCATTCACGTACTCAGACACTGCTCGAGCTTCAGAAGCGGAAAAAACCCAGCAGAAAACAGGAAAAGATGGTGGGGGAGGGAGACAGACAACAAGAAGAGGGAAGGAACAAATGTAACAATATTTTCAGATGATTTTCCTCTCCTTGCATAACACAGTGGACTGTCAGGTACACAGATTGGAGCTGCTTGAAGTGCTCAGTACTAATAATGCCCTTCTGTAAAGAGTGCTTGAGATGAAAGGAATTAAATAGCACCTGGCATTTAGTGCAGCACCACACTTGTTGAGTGTGCAGCCTGGGCTGCTGCCAGGTGGGCAACAAAGGACCTTCACCACACCATCTCCCAGGCACGCTCTCTGTTCTGTCCGTGCTCCTGCGCCTGATGCAGACTTTGCTGTCTAACAAGTTGGGTTCATCTCCAGCAATTCTGGTGAATTTAGTGGTTTACCTGTGTCAGCCAAATTTGTTCTTGTTCTCCTCAGGATGACTAATGCAGCAAAGATGCAACTGTGATTTTGTACACTGGAATTCAGACAACATAACTGCCATGAATCAGAGGGTATCGCTCTGGATTTGCCCTTCCTGACAAACTCTTGATGTTTCATCATATTTGCAAACAGGTAAGCAAAGGAAAGGCAGCTGACTCCATCCCCCCCGCCTAGAATTCCTGATCCTGCCCCAGCCTTTGAGAATGGAAGGCATCCTTATCATTTCTTCTCATTTTCTCACTTCCTAGTCTAGCCTGTACATCCTAGACAGAAAACAGAAAGACCATGTGAAAGGCTCCTTCTGTTGGCTCAGACAGAAACTGGGAGGTTTTCCAAGCCCAATTCTGTAGGCTCCAGGAATCAGATTGTCTGGAGAAGATCCGGGTACATATCTGAACGTTTTGAAACTCAGTCTCAGAAACTCGATATGAGTTTCATATCCCACTCATATCCCGATATCCCAATCTCACTAGTACCCACCATTCCTCCCTTTAGACCCATGCCCCACTCTGAGCCCAGAGTCACCACAAGCATCTGCTGAATGCCACTTACCACAGAAAACAAAACCAGTATTGCCAATCTGTACCAATCAGTGAGGTTCTTGTTTTGTCTTGCAAAAGCACTGGTAAAAGGGGCAGTAGTGCCTCAAATCTATGACATGAACAAATCTGAGCCAAAGGCGATCAAGTTCCAACCACAATAAAAATACCCATAGGAAATCCACTTTGCACACAATAAATGCAGTTTTATTTGCAAATCAGGTATTGGACTTGCTACTCTGCAACTGAGATACTCCAAAAAGCTTCTTGAACTACCTGTGAGGCAATCAAATAACATTCTCCTTCATCACTAAGCACATTGGCTTTCCCATTCCTGGGAATACCACACCCTCTTACAACCATTACCCAAATCGGGATAAGTAAGGCTTTTAGCCACAGTCCAGGCTCCAGACAATGGCTTTTCATTGCTACGCCCCAACCCCAGCGGATCTTTTCAGAGCCCCTGATTCATTTCAGAGGCTGCGGTGGGGTTTTGTCCTCCCCGCCTGCCCTCCAGCTCCGCTCCTGAATACACCCCATTCTGCCAGATCAATCACAGTCGCTCTGCAGAATGAATGGGGGGCTGCAGAGAAGGCAAGCATTCGCAATCCCATCTCCCAGATTATACTCAGAAAGGCTCCAGAATGGAATGCTCGATCGCAGTGTCTACCTCAGCCCCATCTGGGCAGGATAAAGTCCTTTTCAAGCAACCCAACTTGCTAATGTGCTGCAAAGGCAAAGGGCCCTTGGTACTTCAAGGAATTACATGCCACTTCCCAGGGAGAGTTTAGGAGACAAGAGATGTGGTACACATCAAATTAACACCAGAATAACCACAGCAGTTGCTGACTCCAGAGATCATATTCAGATCCTCCCACTCTCTGCGTGCTGTGCCCAGCTCCCGGCGCTGAGGCTGGCAGAGCCCAGTGCTCCGGTGGCCAGGCTAACCATAAGCCACGGATGCTCATACCAAACAGGTCTGTCTGCCTGCTGTCAGGGCAGGATTGCAATTTTGGGCCCAGCCAGTTAAGCTGGGGTTTTGTTTTGCTTTCCCCACTCCCCTGACAGGCAGGAGATCATGGTACAACTGCCAGGTTTGGTTTGCTCATTTGCAATTCTGGCTGGAGTTCAGAGCTATGGAGATGGGAGGCCCTCATGCCTTCTGAACCGATTAGCCCTTGATGCTGATGGGCATGGAGGACAGCCTTTCCCAACTGTATTATAAAGCACTGACAGATATTGAAGGGTCTGGGGCTGCAAGGCAGGATATTGTTCATCGCCCTCTGGCTCTGGACAGAAGGAACAAATCTGACACCCATCTCTGATCTTTCCATTTAAGTACTCACACAGCATCAAATCACACACTCAGCCTTCAAGTTCTGGGCCACTGTGGGAGCACTGCAGCAGCCCAGGCTGTCCTGGGCATCTGTGCACACACTGCAAGCAAACCAGAGTGATTGCCAGTGTGGTACAGTAATAAATTTGCCTCACCACAATCTGACAGGCTGCTATATAAAACTGGTAGTCTTTGCAAAGTCTAATGGTCAGCAAGCAGACAGTGGTTACAGCACATGCAACATTCCCAGGCTTGAGCAGAGGGAAGACAGAGCTGTCTCTACTGGCTGGAGTGATACTAATAGTCACTACGGGGATATAAAGCTGATAAGCAAAGACAGACCAATGTGTTGGTGGTTAAAGGTCAGACCAGGGGGCTTGGGGTGGCTTGTTACAGCTAAATGCTTCCTAGCCAGCTTTTCTGCAGCCACTGCTTCAGCAGTGCCAGCTACACTCACTGCAATTCAATTACAGTTTGTAAAAGGCAGGAGTAAATCTACCCCACAGTTCAAGTGCTGACACCACTTCAAACCTGGGCCTTCCACAGTCCCTGAGCATCAGCAGCCGTGGACACCCTGGGCCAGCTCTGCCTGTCCTGCTCCACCTACTCACACCCAAGCCAAGGCACTGCTCAACACTCTTTTGTAATGCTGCCACTTCCCTCCCCACCTCGCAACACACTGCCTGTCCTCTTCCACCTCCACAGATGGCCACATCCTGCCCTTCCTGTTTCACTCATCCACCTCCTAAACATTGCCTAAAAACCTCCTCTGGCTCCTAAGAAGGATCTGAACTCCTGCGGGCTTTGGGGAGCGGTTGGTTACCACCATAGGGACAAAAATGCCATCTTAAGTCACACATGCATATGTACACATAGAAGTGTGCACACTCCTTGTCCCCACTCCAGAACATGTCCAGCACTCTGTCCAGAGCTGGAAGGACCATATTATATATCAGACACGTGCTCATTTTTACACATGTGGCATAGAGGTCATGCAACATCTTGTCATCTGTTTCCAAGTTGTCACCTTCACAAATTTCTTGTGCCTAGCTCCTTCAGTCAAACCTTTTTCAACTGGCCTTATCTCCTCTCAGAAAGCACATCTGAGACACCATCCTCTCTGCTTGAGCTACTTGAACCTGCCCCAAGCACAGCATGAGAGGATACCATGCTCCGCACACAGGCTGAGGCAGGAGGACTTCAGATAACAATCCTCAAATGCTTTAAAAACTGAACAAAAAAGGGATGCAAAATTTAAGTTCCTCTGTGCTAAAGCTGCCTACAGTCTCCCATGTCCATATTATGGTGCAACCAATTTGCTTCTGCAGCAATTTTCACTTCGGCTTAGCCCTGAGAATCTTGTGCCCACCTCCTGCAGAGCAAACTTCCACCTATGCCTCCTCCCCAAGTGCTTTACTCAGTCTTATCACAGAGATAAACTAGAGCAGATGGTTGGGGTT